AGTTTTTTTTTTTTAATATAATTGGTAACACAAAAAAGATTTTTCTGAAAACAACGTCAAAATCATGTTAAAGTGCGCACCTTCATTTTTTTAGTCTGTTAATATACCTAAAACCTTCTCCTAAGTCTAATAAATACTAAGCTAAAAACCGCATCAAAATCGGTTCAGCTAAACGCGAGATAATCGCGGATAAACATACATACAGGTCAAACTGAAAACCTCCTTCCTTTGAAGGCGGTTAAAAATCACCTCGATCACAATGTGTAAGTCATTTTGGGATTTAAGGATATTCATTACAGGGAAAATGTTAAAAAATCTATCATGTCAGGATTATATATATTTTTTTTATCCACTAGGTATTCCAAAGGAAATATACCTAAACCCAGTATCGGTCCGTAAAGTAGGCAAACTAGGCGACTACCTAACCTAGGCCGAACGTATTTGAAGGGCGGCATGGCATGACAAACAAATTATGTTTACTTGTATTTGAACGTACGTGTAGTAAATACCTTAATTTTTTTTAACAGGAGTCCATTACCTCGTTATTAAGGAGTTTCATTTTTCTTTGGAAAAATTACACTCTTTAATCGGTGAAGTAACCTAGTAGTCTTTTAGTTTCCTGTAATTTTTTGATGGGCGCCGTTTCAATATATTGCCTAGGGCGTCAAGTTTCATTGAGCTGGCGCTGCCTAACCTTACTAATTAACAATAGTACCTATGTGTTACGGTGATAAATTTTTAAAGGACCTACGCACTGGAGTGAGAGATATCGGGAGTGCGCTGGTAAGCACCAGAGTCCGATCAACATCAACGTACTCCGCGTAAAACCGGTCACCCTACCAGACATCGAGTTTGTCGGCTTCGATGACTCTATCGACGGTGTACACGTCTCTAACAACGGACATACTGGTTGGTAGAGTTCAAATGTATTAAGATTCCGTACTTTAAAAGGAGTAATGGATCCATTATTTGATTCTTCGCCTGAGACTGTGTAAACTCTTCATATAGGTAGTGAGCTCGCCACGTGTTTAGGAATCCCATCAATTCAAAGTTATTTCTAGTTATTTAAATTCGCCTTTGACAAATAAAAGTTGTTGTAAACTCAAGTCTATTAATTTTGGGTCATATCTTAGAGCATATTATATTAGGTAATAAATGTTAGTGATTAGATAATAATAATAAATGTCTTATAAAAAATATAGCTTAATATTTTTTTTATAAGTATACCCATTATAAATTTTTACATCTAGGGTCAAGTGGGGTAATTGCGAGGATGATAATTAAAATTATAAATTCAATCTCATACTACTAATTTGTTTCTGAGAGTAAGGAATTAAAATTTACGTCTGTTATTAAACACATATTAGTCTATTATTCCAGATATTTAATAAAAGAAAATAATAGATTTTCAGAAAAATGAGACTCAAATTTAAGTACTACGTCTCATTATTACATTTTCCCCGTCAAAAGGGGCAATTGTAATAATCTCATCAAATTTTCTAACAATGTATAAACATTAAGTTCTGGGGCATTAGCAATAAAAGCGCAAAAAAATATTTAAAAATTGGTTTTTATTTCAGTGAAATCAGACAATTATATCCTAAGTTATTAACTTTTCTTAAAATAGTATTTCAACCTGTTAATTATACTGAAAAATATTACAAATCTAAATTACAATATAATCATATTTCTGAACTTAAAATCAAATGATATTATTCCACGTTTGGTTATTTCAGGGTAAGGCAATATCTGAACGATAGATTCACGGGTAACATGATCAATATCATCGATTATTAGCCATGCGAAAACGCTGCCCTTGCGTCTTACAAATTTTACCTCCCACCGATCGCCCACGGTTTTCTGAACAACGCCTACATAATGCTTGATGCCTTTTTTAAATGCATATTTAACGATCACCCATTTGTTGACCACCGTTTCTGTAAGTTCTTTTCTAGCTTCTTCCTCTGTATTTTGTCTCTCAGTTCCCACGTACTCTACTCCTCGCTCTTTAGTTGCTTTTTTTGTCCCTTTTTCTTTTACTTTTCTATTTTTTTCCGGTAATTTCGTGTTTTGATCGTTTTCTTTATCAGAATTTTCATCTTCAGATTCTTCTATCCATTCACTATCATCAGACTCAGCATAAGATACTATACCTTCAGAACTTTCATAGCTGTCTGAATCATCAGATTTTTTCCTTTGTAACCGGAGAAGAATCTCCGGTTTCTTTTTCTTTTTTTGTTTTTTAGTCATATTTTGTCTCGTTTCCACAGATTCCGCATCAGTTAGGTCATCATCTGATATATCTTTTAGCTCTTTTTCTTTCTTTCCTGATTTCTTTGCAGTCTTTACTTTTTTGGGTGCTTTTTTTGGTCTTTATTTTTCAATATTTCAAGCATTTCAGCAGACGTAATAACTTCAGCGCCTGAGGCAACTTTTCTTCTTTTGAGTTTATTAGGTAGGTGTTTTTGTTGAATAGTTGACAAAATCAATTGTTCTAGAGATGCGGTTTGTAACGTTTCCATATTACAGGTTACGTTTTCTTGAGATTTTGTTGTTTTTGGTGATATTGTGGTCGGTATTAAGCTGTCATTAGGCGTTTGGGGAATTGGAGGCACTACAGGAGTGGACGATCGTGTTGTTGAAGGTAGTATCGATGGCGACGGGACGCTCTCCACGTCTTCTGAAAGTTCCATATCATCCTGCGCATCTCTTTCGGTTTGTATTTTATGTGTCTCCCAGCGCACTAAAGCTTCTTTTTGAAAATTCTCCCTCGGAATGACGTCGCCATTGAATGGAAATATGCCAGTCTTTTTGAACCCATTCTTGATAACATCTTCGCTGACTTTGACCCAAACATCTCCTATGAATTGCGAAAACATTGATTTTGGCAACTTTTGGCCAACGTGTTGTCGTTGCCAGGTCGCAACTATTTGGTCCCATTTCTGTTTATAAGACTTGAAAACTGAAACATCCAATGGTTGAAGAATGTCACTAGTGTGAGCTGGCAATTTCAAAATTGTGATACCTTGGTCCAAAGCATATTCCACCAAATCAAGCGACACATGAGTGGAGTGACCGTCATATATAATTAATTGAGGTCGTTGTTCGCCCAAAGCAGGTACGAGCGTCTTCATAAAGTAGCTTTTAAATATCCCTATCTCCATCCATCCATTGGGCGTCGCAGCATAAGCTGTACCGGGAAATTCTTTATCAGACGATGCTTTCCACTGATCCCACATGTTTTTTCCTTTAAAGATTATTAAAGGAGGCACTCGTTGACCCGCAGCATTGCAAGCTAAAACAAAAGTAGTATTTTCTCTACCAGAAGTGCTAGTAACTCGGGATGAGCTTTGGCCTTTTTCTCCAACGACTCTTGATTTGGATGGGTCGATACTAAGGCTGCTTTCGTCCAAGTTCCAGATACGTTCTGGCTTATCTTCCAGGTCTAGGTCAACCAAAGTCTTTTTTAAAAGCTGGAAGTACCCATAGATAGTAAATGGATCGGTAGCAGCTTTTTTTCTCGCATATTCTAAGGGTTCTGGTTTTCGGATTGATAGTTTATATCGTTTCTTGAAATTGAGAAACCAGTCCTCTCCAGGGATACCATCTTTGAATGGTGTTTTAATTACATTCATAGAAACAAACTGACCAACCAACTCCATTATTTCTTTACGACTGAGTCCAAAGCCCCATTTTGCCAGAGTTTTAACAGAAACGGCTAAAACGTTTTCAATATTTTTTCAATGTTCTTCTTCCTTTGTTTTTTTTTATAGCTCCTCGTGTGCCTTTGTTTCGACAATATAGGGTTGAAAAAGGGATTCCGTACAAAACGGATGCCTTATGAATTGAAACTCTTCCAGCCCGTATGTCTTCGAGAGCACGATTTAGTTTTTCTTCAGAATATTTGGGTCCCGTATCTTTCTTTTTAACATAATTTCGCACCATCTGGAAAGAGGGGCAAATGTAATAATTTTTATATTGCAATTACCCCAAGGCAGCAAAATTCTGGGGCAAATGCAATAGCGACTGTACCATGTAAGCTACACCAGATATCTTCAAAATACATTATTAACATAACAAAGCAACACAAGATATTACCACAAAACAAAAAATTGATCAAAAACTTACGTTAAAAAACCAGACGAAACTCGATGAAAAGTTAGGTTATAAATTTTTCGTACCACGTTGCTTGGAGGCCTGCCACAAAATGTTATGTCACTCATTGGTATGTCGGTAAAACAGTATCGACATGTAATCAGCTTTGAGTTGAAGTGATACTTGTGTCGTTTAAGAGATGGCAGCACCGTTCGGAAAACATTGAAGTTAGACAAGGTTATGTTATTACATTTCCCCCATTATTGCAATTACCCCACTTGACCCTATCTCTATATTTAGTTGTTGAGACGAGTAGCAAGAGCATCGATTGTAAATAAGTGATATAGCACGGCGTTGTACCTAACGTAGTCACAATACCTACTTATTACAGAATCAAGCGAGTGTTGTAAACGGAATTGATATACTTGTTATAGGATATCAGCAAAACAGATAGCTTCAAATTATTAAAATAAATGTATAATCATAGAAGATAGATATTTTAGGCCATCTAGATAGTTTCTACTTTTAGGGTTAGTTGCACCAACTTACTTTAACAATAGTGGATATATTAAAGTACCAATTTAGCAAAAAATATTGAGTTATCATTTAGCAATAGTTGGATGACATCATAACTTTAACAGTAAATTATAACCGCCAGTCAGTTGAAATTAAATAATCTAAGTATCTACATAAACAACAAAATACCATAAAAATTGGTAAGCATGTACGAAAAGAAATGTATAACCTATGTAGAGAAAGACCCTGCCTTGTGCTAATATTGATACTATCATAAGTTTTGGAAATTTTATTTACTGATGATGTACGTTACCTCTACAAATAAATCGCAATGTTTAAATGTTAATCAATAAGTTCGTTAGATTTTGAGACTTCATAATATGAAAGTCATGAAGTCACACCGTAAGCATTTTTACAGATTAGGGGCTTGCAAAATAAGTATGTAGTATTTCCTCTTTCTTGAAGTTAATAGGTTAACGTGAATTCTTAATCTAGAAACACTGAAGAGCAGTACGACAAAATAACAAGAAATATTAACGAATTCTAATTGGTCTCAATATTTTTTTTGCTTTTGTTCACAATTACATAAATATTATAGAATATGGCGCGGCAGAATGTGTTGATCTTTCGTTTTAATCAGGATTTCTCTTCACTATTTCAGTGCTGATAGAAGTACAAAACGAGCCTCATCCACGAGTCCGCGGCGGACCTCTCGAAGGCGACTATATCTTCAGTCAGATGCATTTTCATTGGGGCGATAATGACACTTTCGGCTCAGAAGACAAGATCAACCATAGGAGGTCAGTTAATGTGAAATATAACACAAATCATATTAAAACAATATAATACCTAATCAGTTACTTTTAGTCATCAAAAATACTTTGTAGCATTTATAATTATTATTCGTAAAGGGATCGGTTTTAGTTTTAGTTTATGATCACACGCAAGTAGGCTGCGATTTATATAAGTAACAACCGTGTCAGTACACGAAATCGTCGATGGAGGATCAACTAACCTTGACGCATTTAAACAATCGATGTAACTATGCGTTGGTATATACCTCAAAAAAAATGCGTTCGATGTGGTCTAATTAAAATAAAACCCGACATTCTTACAAAAGAGCAACGGAATAACATTTAAACAATAGAGGGAAAACCTTTCTCTCACTAAAACGTGTAGTCAGGTTACGTATCGCTTAGTGAATTTTTGAACAAAGATGTAATCTACTTTCTAATTATAAAGAATAACAAAGTTGATTTTTAAAAGAGCATAATACTAATATTATTAAATTTTCAGTTTCCCCATGGAACTTCATATGGTTTTCTACAAAGAAGCTTATAACAATGTGAAAGAAGCCGTGCTACACCCAGACGGCTTGACTGTCCTCGCTTTCTTCTATGAGGTGACAATCAGTTTGTGTCTAGCATAGTAAACGTTTCCTCTCTATAATATTAATATTAGTATATGTATATATATATATATATATATATATATATATATATATATATATATATATATATATATACATATACTAATATTAATATTATATTATATATAATATAATATAATATAATATTATATAATATAATATAATATATAATATAATATTATATATATATATACATATATATGTATAGAGTAATACCAAACACCTCGACCTATCCTATGATATAGGTACAAGCGGATTGCATAGGCTATAAATTATACCCTTTTTCACCCACGTATAACATAGCTTCCCGTAAGTGCAAGAATTTTAACTAATTGGATCAGTATTTTCGAAGATTACAATTACAACACCTACAAATAAACAAAGTTAAAAACTTTTACCCTTTATAACATCAGTATTATAGATATTCATCAATGCTATTGTTGCTATACTTATGTAACCATTTTTGTTGATGTTTAGCTGGACCGGCACCAGCACCCGGCTTACGATGAGATCATGGGGGCGCTACGGAACGTGACAGAGCCGCACACTCGCGTGGCGATGGACCATCCGTTCTCTTTCCTGAACATCCTGCCATACGACCTGCGCCGGTACTTCACCTACCGCGGCTCACTCACCACCCCACCTTGTTCGGAGGTCGTCATCTGGCTCGACTTCGAACAGCCCATTAGACTGGCGCACGAACAGGTCATTTAACATCATAATCCTAATAATGTGCCCACATTCGGGGGCACAGGATTCTATATAGATGGAATCGAGTAGGGACCGGGATCAAAGCCTTAAGTTGCCTTCCGAAGCACGAAAGATCATCATTTTTGGTCATCAATAATCCACCCATCCATCATAGGATGAATGAGCGACTTTCAGAAGGCAAACACGCTTACCACTGTAACAATTATACATACTAAAATGTGAAAAGCAACCGAGAAGTTTTACTACCATACCGTTAGGTAGCTCCATATGATTATAGCCCCTTACTCTCGAACGTAATCGCTACAGATCGGCATTGCAATTGTATCGTTTCGTACTCTTGCCCAGAATATGATAATGAACAAATCAAGAGTGCGGAGCAACACAGTTGCTATGTCGATCGGTCGCGATTGCGTTCGAGAGTAAGGGGGCTGGGCAGATTGCCAGTCTGTTATCTAAATCCAGGCCTACCAAAGCTCACAACGATACTGCTCTAGCGAAACTTTGAGGATAGGCATGGGATGACAATCCACTGACGTCTTCTTTTTTTCTTTAAATTTCAATTCAGCGTGTCATTTATAAATACTAATTGACTATTCACTTAACAGAATCTGGCGTTACTTTGCGGAAGTCCATTGCGATTAACACAAAAAAAAACTATGAGTTTCGGTGGTTAGTAACGCATGGTCTAACAGCTACTTACCGAGTATGCCGCGTGGCGAAACACATGTAAAATAAAAAGGAAATGTTTAAAAAATTCACTAGTCCTAAGTACTATCAAACCTCTGTTGGGTCTCGAGTAGCTCAACAGGTACTCGTAGAAAAGTCACCCGGATTGCAGAAGATTGTGGTTCAAGTCCCATTTTGAGGTAACTGGAACTGGTCAAATTTTTAAGAATTTTTCAAATATAATAAAGAAATAGTTTCTGTATATATTGTTACGATCTCAAGTTAAACAAATACATTGAAATTATTATGGCAAGTGGTGTATGAGCATGTTGCATTAGTCTCCTGTTATTAAAGAAGGTCCTTAACTGCTCACTATTTGTGATTATCATTAGATTTATTAATTGAAACCGAATAGAAATATTTAGGTATTATATTAATTTAGGAATGTGGACAGTTTTCGCCAATTTAGGCAAAGTTTTCTAAAGTTATACGACAAAAATAGACCAAATACCTGTTTTTTTTTTTAAATAAGGTAAATTTTGTACGTTTGTCATGTTGTAAACTTGAAACCTTCATCTAAAGTTTTAACCAAAGGAAATAATATTATACTTGTTTAACTAAAATAATTAAAAGTTTGACTTATCAATGAAAGTATAAATTTATTCCAATTGAAATAATCGTAGGTAAGTTTGCAAACCAGGGACGATTTTTGCAATAGGGAATATGATCGGATTGATATTGTTTTGATTTTAAATAGAAATGTACATTGTACACACAGCTACACGTCAACCTTGCGATTCTGTAAAAAATCCAAACCCGAATTCGAATTCACATCAAGAAGCAGCATCCGCTCAGAATTGGTAATAACGTTTTGTATAAGTAAAGTGAGTTTCGAAATGACATAGGAATAGAATATCTGAGACATATATACTCAATCATTTTTTTTGTATTTAAAAAAAAAAATGGAACCAATAGAATTTCTACACTTAAAGACATGAATTCGAATTCGGATCAGGATTTTTACAGAATCGCAGGGCAGGTTATAAACGTCACTACAATCAAGAAATTGACGATTTTGTCTATTGTTAACAAAAATCGGCAAAGTATTTAAAAATAATCAATTCAAATATTTTATTTGAGAATTTAAAAATATGTCGTGGGTAAAATTATTTTAAGCTTGTAACTTTATTTACAGATAGAGGCGTTCAGAGAGTTGAAATCGATCCATGGCAAAATAACGCATAACTTCAGACCGATACAGCCTATTGGCGATAGAGTTGTATTCTATAACATCGACAACAGTTACTTCACTTACAACGAGATAGATCCGGATGAAGAGGAAGACGCCCCACCGACCAAATCATCTCGAAGAAAGAGTCGAAATAAAGGTTCAACATTGTCAGCGAGATTATTCATCGTTGGTCTTATGTTAACTGTACTACAAGTATGAATTAATTTATAACTACAGCAGGAATACCTAACGTGACCAAACGTCCCGTTTTTAGGTTGTCCATCCCGGTGTCCCAAAAAAAGAACCCCGAGACACGAAAATTTAAAAAGCGGGAAGATTTTGTTGGCCGCTCAAAGTGAAGACGGATATGTAAAAAGATGGTATTAAGACAAGTCTTCGTGATAAATTCTTTTTCTTTCAATTTCTTAGAGGTTAATTTCTTTCCGCGTCATTTATCTATATATCCAGGAAATAACATAATATTCTTTAAGAATCTAAACATGGGTATAAAAATTTCATGATTGTTAAACGTTTTTTGGGAAAAAATAATAAAATGGTCACGTCAGTTATACTGCCTATGGCGTTACTAATTTAACTTCATACAACTGTCATTGGATTCGAATTTAACAGTCTATCATAGAAGCTGTTGAACTTGCATGCATCGCATGAAGATCTCGAGAGCCGGGTCAACAGTTAGATGTTCCATATCTACATAGAATAGCTCACTCTCAATCAGTTTCTGGCGTTAGTTATGCTCATGCTATGCGTGTTGGGGTTTTATTACACTTAATCGGTTGTTTGCACAAACGTCCATTAAGGTTTAATAACGCCTTAATTAAAGCCTTAAAAGAATGTAAATTTGTATTGTTTATGTCGCTTTAAACTAATTAAAATTGTAATGAATGTTTATTCAACAAGCTGTATATATGGTCTTTAGCTAATTACTTGGTACAATCTATAAAAATAAGAGAAATTTTACAGTATGCATAGTTCATACAACATGGTGGTACAATACACATGGGTGCATACCAGGTTACCACAATATGTCAAATTTCTCTAGTTCTTTTTAAATTCTACCTTTAAAACATTAATGTTTAAAATTATGTGGAGAAATTTGTATTATCTGACCCACTGTTGACTGTACATAGTCCTGCATCATTTTTGTACTATAATTATATTAATGCATAGTAAGAGGCATGGACTTCATAGAACTATTCCCAGCTGTAAACTGTTGGTTTTTTTTTGCAGTATTAAGTAAATGTTTCTGTGTACAATGTAGCACCACAATTTATCCATTAAAACCTATAATACAAAAAACCTATGGTACTGTACTGTTGTTAGATTTCTCATGAAGGTTACGATCATTGAGATTGTTTATATGTATCAATTGTAATTTAAATTTCTGTTTAAAACTACAAAGAATATAATTTGTCCAGATGTGATAATATAGTAAAAAAACTTAAGCTTAGCAAATTATTGTGAAATTAATACATGTAAAAGATCTCTATAAATACACATAAGAAGGTGCTCAACTTTCTTACTTTGGAAAGTATGTTAAGCTATAGGTTCCCAACTCGCACTAAGACAGTTTGGTGGGTTTATGGCCAGTTTACCCTATTTTTATATTCCATCCACAGAAAAGGCCTATCTATAACCCTGTATTGGGATTTTAAAGACCTGATGATGTCTCACTTAACCCATTCAAAAATTGATAATTAATTTTTTTGTTCAAATAAATTCATTAATTTATGGCTGCTGTGTATGCTGCTATGTACTATAATATTATTAACAGCATTTTCGATAAGAACTTAAATCTGCCATCTATGGTACAAACTAGTTAGTTACAAATATTTATAGGTTAAATCACTTCAATTTTTTTGAAAATTTGGTAGATTTAAGAGGAAATATTAAAGAAATATGTTGTTTGGTATATAGTCAATAGTGGCATTCCAATGTCATATAAAATCTACCATGGAAAGATCTTTTTATACAATAGCGTAAGCATGCTTATTACATGTATATAGTCTGTTTCAACAAAATAGAATAAATTAATGTAATCAAGTGTGTTACTTAGCAATGCTGTTTATATATTTTAAAAATATCATAGTTATTAGCCACAGTGGCGGACTAACCCTGTCGGGGGCCTGGGGCGGCATTAGGTCCTTACCTACAACTTTTTACAACTGATGCAGAAACTTGATTTTGTGTTTACACTGCATCCCCTGCTGAGACGCCTACTAAAACTACGAAACTAAGAAAGATAAGGCAATACAACCCCCATTTATGATTTGATCAAGGGAACTTTCAGCCATTTGGAGGCCCCCAAGGATAAGAGGCCTGGGGCGGACTGCCCCCCCCCTTAGTCCAGCACTGGTTAGCCAATACATTACATTAGGTAAAACATATAAATATTTTATAGATAATTTATTGAAAATCAATGTGATGCACAAAATGTGTGTACTATAATGTTTGTATTTATAGCAATATTTTTTAACTCTTCATCCATTGACAGACTGATTGTGTATCATTAAATGTACACTTTTGATAAATTAATAAACTGTGATATTAAATACATATTAACAATTTTTTGAGTTTTATTGTATTGAGTAAATTTACAAAAGTCACTAATTCTAACTGCTTTCTAATTCTGCCATATAATTTCTTACAAAATTACTTCTAAACAATTATATACTAAATTCATTTTATTTAATAAACACTAATTATTCAGGAGGACCATTGTTAATTTTTCATTAAGAAAACTTCCAATGTTGATATTAACAAAGTTTGTGGTATTAAGATTAGAATTTGGAAATAATAATTATCAATCATTTCACACATATGCATTTAGACTTTGTTAGGTTAAATTTTTTGTATGAAAAACATATATGTATAGATGTGCATATACTTATACATGTATGAATGTCTATTTGTCAACATCAAACTAATACTATATAATCAATTGTCCAACTAGTGTTACTTTTATGTTTAAACTATATCATTAATCATCATCAGCAGGTCTATTTTCAGACATTGTTACCATTGCTCCTAAGTTGTCTTCTCCTCCATGCTTCAATCTTTCCCAGATTAGCTCAGCAATAGCCTTTTGTGTTCTCCGTTCTAATTTTTCAAGTTTCTTTGCCACATCTCTTTTGAGATCCCAGTCTGGTTTTCTTGGGGCTAAACTAGATATATCTAAATCCTGCAATACTACCTGTAAAGTAATAATTTAATCACTGAATAAGCAATTTATTTAAACTACTGAAATAAATTACAAAATTTAGTATGTTACCAACCTTTTCTTTACTAGCTTCAAGTAAATCTTTTACTTCATCCTCAACAAGAGTAGGCTGTGCTTCCTCCAGTTTCGCCTCCTGCAATTGCTCATCTTGGGGTTTATAACTTCGGAATCTTGGTCTAAAATGACATAATGTAACCTATAATTTTTTCAATACAGTTTTATGTAAAATTTGAACAGTTATCAATAATTACTTTGGCAGAATTACTGCTTCATTTGAATCAGAAATAGCGTTTTCATTACTAGGATTCTTGCGTTTCAGATTTTTAAGTCTTTCTTTTCTTTTGAGCGCCTGCTCTTCTAGTGTGCCAACACTCTCACTTTTATCCATAATCACCATACTATTAATAATAATTGTCCATTTATACTCAAATTTTAAGTTTTAGCTAAATAAATAGTGTGTTTTAATCACAGGTTTAAATAATAAAAAGCTGTGAAAAAAGCAAAGCTTTACTTGAGTCAAACTTTGGAAACGTCACAATACAAAAGGTTTGGACAACAACCATCGATATGTAAAAATATCGATTTTTTTTTATAAAATAATAATTGTTGTTTAATGTTTTAAATATATGAGCATTAGACATGTTTTTAATGAAATATTAGATTGATCAACAATTTCAGTTTAAAGGATTATTATATATTTATAGGGAACATATTAAATAAATACTTTAAAACCTTGTAATAAAATAGGTTCTTATTTCATTCAATCTGAATATTTATCAATCGTTGCATTTAATTTTTGGAATCACTCTTATGTGCATCATATCTTAGTTCTTGACATAAAATGAACATCGAGGAATCGATGTATAATTTTCTATTAGTAAGATCGAATATAAATTAAAGATATTTATACAAATCGGTTTAGTATTTCGTTTCAACGTCCCTGTAAGATATTGAGGATAGTAGTCTATGATTAAAAGAAGAAAACTAATTGAGTCTATGGTAAGGAAGTATTGGTGTGTGTAAAGATGGCGTACCTATTAGAATAAAAATCTTTAATTAAAGTCTTATTTTAATTACTAAAAAGTGAATCCATAGAAAACAACTTAACATGGCGCAGCCGCAGAACGTAAAATATTCAAGTAACATAAATTTGCAACCGCCGCCACCGCTATCTTTTGAAGGTAATCTAGAACGAAATTTTAAAACATGGATCCGCCATGTGGAATTATATTTAATAGCAAATGAATGCCAAAAGAAACCAAGTCGAACGAAAGTGGCAATTTTGTTAAGTTTATTGGGGGAAGAAGGGCTCGATAAATATGAGACCTTTGATTTGGATGCAGAAGCAAAGCAGGATTATGACAAAGTTAAATTAGCATTGGCCAATTATTGCGTTCCCAAGACCAACGAAACTATTTCTAGACATATCTTTTTTACAAGAAACCAAAAAAATGAAACATTTGATGAATACCTGGTAGAAATCAAGAAATTGGCCAATAAATGTAACTTTGGAGATTTAAAGGATAGCTTAATAAGGGACAAAATAATATGTGGTGTTAATTGCCCAAAATTAAAGGATAGGCTTTTACGAGAAGAAGGATTAAACTTAGAGAAGTGTATCTATATATGCAGACTTGCGGAAATGACACAACAAAATTTATCACAACTGAATGTTCAAGAGATCAATGTAGACAAGATTGACAATAGTTCAAAAAAGAAGCCAGAGAAATTCAAATGTAACAGTTGTGGTTATGAACATACAGCAAGAAATTGTCCGGCATACAATAAGACATGTTATCAGTGTGGTAAATTACATCATTTTGCCAGTGTGTGCAAAAATAAAAACCAAAGGCGAGTAAACATGATTCAAGATAATAACAAAGAAGAATATATCCTGGGTGCTATAGATGTAGATAATTGGACTTTAGAGGTAAATTTTACGGACTATAATAAGAAATGTTTATTAAAATTAGATACAGGGGCAGGATGCAATGTAATTAGTAAGAATACATTGAAGAAGTTAGGTATTCCTATAAATTTAAAGCAATCTCAAGCCATTTTAAAAAATTACAATAATACAATAATAAAATTAGAAGGTACTATAAATTTAAGATGTGATATTAATAATGAAAGTGTTTTATTAAAATTTCATGTGGTGGATTGTAATTCAGTACCATTAATAGGTTTACCCACAATTAAAAGACTAAATATTATAAAACCAGTTTGTCATATTGACAAAGATTCAATTTTAAACCAGTATCCATCTTTATTTTCAGGAGTAGGAGAAATTAAAGATTATGTGTACGATTTTAAATTGATACCTAATTATACTGGTAAGGTTATACCATGTAGACCAGTGCCCTTAAAATTATTAGACACATATAAAAAAGAATTATTAGATATGGAAAAAAACAAGATTATATGTAAAATAGAAGAACCTACTGAGTTTGTAAATGCAGTTGTAATAGTAAGAAAGAGTGATAATTCATTACGTGTTTGTCTAGATCCTCAATATCTCAATTCTTGTCTTTTAAGAGAACATTATAAACTTCCAACATTTGAAGAAATATCAGGTAAAATGGCTAATGCAAAGGTTTTCAGTAAGTTAGATTGTAGTAAAGCGTTTCACCAAATTAAATTAAGTGAAAGTAGTTCTAAACTTACAACCTTTCAAACACCATTCGGAAGATACCGATTTTTAAGAATGCCTTATGGTGTAAAAGTAGCTTCAGAAGTATATCATAAACAATTTTCTCGTTTATTTGAAGGCCTTCCAAATGTGGAAATATTTATTGACGATTTAATAATCTGGGCAGATAACAAGAAAAATCATGATAAAACTTTACATTTGGTATTAAAGATAGCTCTAGAAAATAACATAACATTTAATTCGGAAAAATGTATAATAGGAACCAACTCACTAAAATTTTTGGGACATAAATTCACAGATAAAGGTATATATATGGATGAAGACAAAATAGAAAGCATAGTAAAAATGGAGAAACCCAGCGATATTAATGGTATTCAACGGTTACTAGGTATTATTACATACATATCAAAATTCATTCCAAACTTTTCAGATGTAACATCTCCTTTAAGAATATTATTAAAAAAAGACAAGAGTTGGGAATGGGGTAATGAACAGGAAGAATGTTTTAACAAAATTAAAAATTACTTAATTACTAAACCAGTTCTCCAGTATTATGATCCAAACTTACCATGTTTATTAAGTGTTGATGCAAGTGGAAGTGGTGTAGGTGCGGTATTATTACAAAATGGATTACCTGTAGCTTATGCATCAAAAGCATTTACTCAAACCCAAAAAGCATGGGCACAGATTGAAAAAGAAATGTATGCAATTGTGTTTGCTTGTGAAAAATTTCATTTTTATATAATGGGTCGCACTGTGTCTATTGAAAATGATCATAAACCTTTGATTCCTATAATGAAAAAGCCTTTGGCAGAAATACCTATACGTTTACAAAAAATGAGATTACGTTTGCAGCATTATGACATTGTACTATCATATAAACCAGGTAAATTGTTGTTATTAGCTGATTATCTGTCAAGAAATCATTTAAAACAAGAATGTAAAGAAGATGATTACTTTGATTGTAGTGTTTTGTTAATTAATTTAAAAGAAAAGATGAGCATACAAAGGTATGAACAGTTTCTAAAAGAAACAGAAAAAGATGAAGAATTAAATTTGTTAAAGAAATATATATTAAATGGATGGCCTCAAAGTAACAAAGATTTACCAGATATCTTAAAACCATATCATACCTTTCATACTGATCTTCACTTAATTGATGGATTGATATTTAAAAATGATTGTTTAATAGTGCCTAAGGTATTACAATTAGAAATGTTAAAAAAGTTACACTATAGTCATTTAGGAATAGAGAAAACAAAAAATAGAGCACGAGAACTTTTATTTTGGATAAGTATGTCAAAACATATAGAAACTTTCATTCAAAATTGTAGTACATGCATAAAGTTTAGCAAATCTAATACAAAAGAAACCTTAATACCTCATATGATACCTAATGTGCCATGGAAAAAATTAGGAGTAGATATTTTTCATTTGTATTCAAGAGACTATATTTTAGTAATAGATTACTTTTCTAAATATGTAGAGGTGATACAGTTACAGTCTTTAACAGCTGATTGTATAGTAAAATCATTAAAACAATGTTTTTCTCGGTTTGGAATACCTATAGAAGTACACAGTGATGGAGGTCCACAATTTCAATCTAGTACTTTTAAAGAATTTTCTAAAAAGTGGGATTTTAAACACATAATTTCTTCAGCATATTATCCAAAAAGTAATGGAATGGTGGAAAGACACATTCAGACTATAAAAAATATTTTGAAAAAATGTTATGAAGATAAAAGGGATCCATATTTAGCCCTTTTAGAATACAGAAACACTCCAATTTCAAATGAAATAGGTTCACCTAATAAAATATTAATAGGGCACAATGTCAGGGGTATGCTACCGTTAGAACTAAATAATAGATCAGAAAGTTATGATACAATCAAGAAGAAATTACAAAAACGTCAAACTATTCAAAAAGGTTATTATGATAGGCATACAAATCAATTAAAAAGTTTTAGTATTGGAGATAAAGTTGTGTTAAAAAATCATCAAACTAATGTTTTTGATAAGCCAGGTATTGTAACTGAAATTGTTGATAAGCCAAGATCATATAATATATTAACAGAAACAGGAAAAATTACTAATAGAAATAGAGTAGACATTAAAAGGAATTCAAAAGACTATGTATTTAAAAAGGAGGAGGATATGATTGATAGTGAAACAAAAAATGAAAGTTCTCAGCTCTCACTCTCTAAAGAAAATTTAAATCTAGAATCAAAAGATAATGTGGAGAATATGCAAAATGATAATCAATTAACTTTGACAAATGAATGTAACAATCATCAGACTCCTTTAGTAATGAGTAGAAGTGGCAGAATTGTTAAACCGCCTAGTTATTTAAAGGACTATGAATCTTAGCTTTTATTAAATTTGTTTAAGGGGAAGATGTAAGATATTGAGGATAGTAGTCTATGATTAAAAGAAGAAAACTAATTGAGTCTATGGTAAGGAAGTATTGGTGTGTGTAAAGATGGCGTACCTATTAGAATAAAAATCTTTAATTAAAGTCTTATTTTAATTACTAAAAAGTGAATCCATAGAAAACAACTTAACAGTCCCTACAATACATTCTACCATAGAGATTTTTTAGTTTTTTTTATTAGGTAGGACGAAAGGAATAGAGCTCATACAGCCATCTTTAGATATAAATACGTATTTCTTCATAAAAATAGGCTATGGCCATATTTATTTATCATTATGTCTGCTAATGTAAGCGTAATTATGTAAAGTCAATTGCACTTCCACGATAACCTTATAAGCTCTTGATCACAAAATAATTTATATATCGCTCACCAGTGATTTATTTGTGAGGAAGACATTGTACACACGGCTGCACGTCAGACTATATATACATAGTGGACTTTGTACCGACTGCACTTTGTATAGAACTTCCCTATTAATAGAGGTCTGCTTACAGTGGCACTGTGTAGAGTGACGTGCGGCCGTGCGTACCGTACCAATAATATTAGACTTCATTTAAATAGTACAGATAGATGTGATTAAAACTTAAATAATTGCAAAAATATGGTCCTGGATGTATAGACGGCACGGCCGTAACCTCATCTATTGCGTTAGCGAAGTCGTAACGGGGATGACGACAAATTTTTGTTGGTTATCCGTCAGGTGAATTGTTGAAAAGTATTAAACACGTATTTTTTATGTAATCATTAAATTACGGCCATAAATTGAGTTAAAATGTCACATGGCGTCACGGTTTTGTACATTTTCTATAATATTGTAACGTAGCGAGCTCCCACTCCTTAACTTTAATGCCTGTTATATAAGCTATATCTTGTTAAATTGAAGTAAAAAATTCGTATCTAATATTTTTCTATTATTTGACTGACGAACTTAACAGAATGTCCTTTTTTTACCCTGTCGTCATCCCTATTGTTCTGTAAAATGAAGCTCTATCAGGCTGACAGACCAAACCACATCAGTACAGATTTGATCATCTGTTATTGCTTTTACTCTAAGCAGCAGAGTATAAAAATCACGTCACGCAAATTAAACCCAAATGATATTTTTTTTCCATAATTTCTTAAACCTTTCCCTATTATTAGAAACAAATTATAGAATAGTAGTGATCATTTTGGTACAAAGGGTAATAACAAGATAAATAAAATGCAGAAAACTCCTTATTACAAAATATATATTTACAAACTTACAACAATCAGTTATTTATATCAATGACTTGACACGTAGGTGTTTAAGTAAATGAATATTTCTTAGCTCTATAGACACATGTATTGTTTAAACTAATTCAGTAGAAAATTAAACAATGAGTTAGGTACAAAGAAAATGATTTAAAAAAATTTATATGTAATTTTTTCCGGTATTAGGTGGGACTCATACGCCTTTTGTTGAAACTGCCTGTCTCGTTATATTTTTCTGATTTCTCGAAATATAGGTAAATGCCATTTCTATATTCTTTTTAATCCAAAGTTTCTTTTTTCTTTTTCGTTTTAAGTTTCAGACTTTCCCATGCTTTGTACAATAAGTATAGCTTTGTAAATGCAAAATTGATCAAATATAATAAGTAATAGACAATATAATATTTTGTCCGCAATAATATTGAAGAAATAACTATATCATACATTAATCAACAATATTTCAAATAGCTATGTCATTACAACAAACCAAGAGGCAGACATAATGTCGACATGGAATCAGTTGACTTTTAAATTATTTTAAAATAAATCGAAATTATATGTATCCATTTGCAATTCTTATATATTTTTCCATGAGTTTGAATAATTTATATTTTCATTTTATGTTAACAAATAGCTTAGATAAGTGTCTCTTTATAACATCTAGAACTTAAACATATTTAAACTAATCAGCAATTATATTATTATTATATATTGACTTAAAACTAGTAACTAAATTTTACTACTTATGGCAGTTCGTAATATTTAATGTAAAATAAATAAATGTTAAAAATCTAGGGCAGCATTCGTAGAACTACATCTGAAGTTTGCAATCTTTAATTGTATGGTAAGGGTATATACAGCTCCGCACAAAGCTTCTTTGGTGTTTTATTCTTTAAAACTCTTTTATACTGAATGAGGAATATTGGTGCCTACAGCCAAACTGTATTAGTTTTTCTATCGCTTGTGTATATAGGTACTGTGTTAAATTATAATCTTATTAATGGACATTTGTACTCCCGTCATAAATTTAATCAATCTATGCATTTGGCCTGACATGCCTCCGGCTGTCAAAAGGTAATTTATTGGATATATTGCCATTCAAAGGTATTCCATGATTAAGTGACAAAACTTTGGTAACGATGTTTAAGTCTTCATGACTTCTTCCGTTTAGACCGTTTTGTACCAAGAGCTGTTTTAATTCAAGATCGGGGTTAAATTGATTTGGCCTGTTGAATGGAAAAAAACGGTTTGAATTGATTGGAGTAAAAGTACTAAATCTATTATAGTTTTGGTTGTTAAATCCAAAATTGCCAACACTACTCTCATGACGGAAAACTCGGTGACTTTGTTTTTGTTGTCCAAATTGATCGTTCAATCGAAGTTGATTGAAATTTGACCCTTGGAAATTTGAAATTGGGTTGGGCTGTAGAAAATTGCTGATACCTTGTGGTAGATGGTTCTCTTGTAAGGGAAATTGTTCCGATTGTTGGCTACGTAGATGAAGCAAAAAGTCAACTGCTTCGCGGTTAGGAAGTTGCTGTTGATTACCCACTAGGTTATTCTGATCTAATGTTACACTAGGTTGGATTGATACCTGTGAATTTTGAGCCTGTGGAATATTTTGGTTTAAAAAGGGGATCTGTTGTAAGTTTTTCTGTAGACCTTGTATCTGGTTAACTACGTTATTTGCCTGTAATTGTTGTCGTTTAAGTTGTTCTTGATCAAAAAGTAATTGTTGCTGTCTCTGTGCTTCTTTTTGTTGTAAAAGATATTGTTGTTTTCTCAAAAGTTCCTCTTGCTGTCTTTGTTGTTGCTGTAATAATCTAAGTTGTTCTTCAAGAATTTTTTGTTTCTCTTCCAATTGTTTTTGTAAAGCAAGTTGTTGTTCAATGAATTCTGGCCGCTGAACTGGGCTAACGTTCAAATTTTGAGTAGTTGAAGTCTGTCTTGTGAATTGAGTTGATAGAACGCCGGAAGGAAGAGTAGGTGATATAGTCTGTCTATTAGTCTGTTGATAGATAGGTATAACTTTTTTGGGTAATCCTTGCGCATCTTGGTGTACAGTGAATGCTGCTACAAGAGGCGCTTGAAAAACTTGTACATCTTTCTTGTCGACCTCCTCAATATTTTCTCCGTCTTCGTTGTGTGTTGGCTTTGGCGTGGTTGTCGTGGTAGTTGTTGTTGTAGTAGTTTTTATTGTTGTAGGTTTTGTTGTTAATATTTGATTTTTACTCTTAGTCGTATCCGTATTTAATGTGGTCTGAATACTTCTTACTTGTTGGATGTTAATAGAGCTATCTTTTGATTGAAAAGCTTCACTAAATGGAGTTTGCGTTGGAAGAGTGGCTGTCACATGATTTTCTACATTTCCTGCAGTGGTGCTTAGAATAGAAATTCTATTATCTATTATAGTTGGTGTTACGTTGGTACTGTTAGCAAATGCTGCTTGGCCATTCACAACAAATGAATGTATTTGTATTTTCTCTTCGGGAGCTGGAGGCTGTAAAGTTTCCGCGATTGAATCAGTTTTATAAATGGATGAGTCGACAGTAGACGATTCCTCTGTAGTGTCGGTACCTGTTGAAAGATTGTCGCTTTCCTCGAGTTCACTGAGAGCCTTCAGTAAAGCTTTTCGAATGTACGGGTCTAATCTTACAGAAGGTTTTTGATCGATGCTGTTGCTTCTGTCATCGTCAGTCGAGTCCGTGGTTTGTTGCTGTGCTCTCGTCGCTATCGACAACAGTAGAGTACACCAGGTAATCGCCTGAACCTGCAACATAGAAAAAATATTTAAATATATAGAAACTTTTTTAAGTCATAAAAGACTTTTCATGGCTGCTATCTGTTGGAATATTAAACTTTTAATCTTTTGAAAAATAATTAATACTTCATTTATTACAGTTGTAATTATTTTTTGCAAGTACCTTATTCATAAGCAGATAGCGAGTCAGACCATTTCACTATTTACTGCATATAAAACGACATCTCCCCGCGAATAATGCAGTAATAAGCTATTTCGGGGTTCATTCAGTATGCGTTCCGTATAAAATGCTTTTTTTCTTTTTTTATTAATGAAGATATGAAAAGTTTATTTTATTTTTAAAAATAACATCTAAAAATATGTTCCCAATAAGAATATAAATAAATGTATAGTATGTTATCTACAAAGGCAAGGGTAAGGATAAAATCAGCATGCCGCCGAGGCTTAGAGATTCAAAAATGGAAAGAGTAATAATAATATCAATAAACACAATTCGTATGAATTAACTTTTTTTTTATTTGACACGGAATTTACTGAATATCCAAAACTACATACCTATATAATAATTTTAAAATGTGGTAATCAACAGGTATTTAGGACAAATATAAAACTGAATCATCAATAATATTTTATAATGTCAAAATAATAACAGAATTCAAAAGTATAGCACCTAATCTTAACAGAATTACGCATTTTCATATCGCGACATTCGCGACGTCTAGCACGAACACTAGGTGTTATTACAATAGCTTCCATGTTTCCACGATCCTAACTTTTTTAGTCATCACTTACATTGTCTGTGTAATGTGGAACAATGACTGTTTTCTTATGGTTCGATTACACAACTAATATCGTCTCCGTTAGTACAACGAATGACAAACGCGATTTAAATAATTAATTAGTTTTTTTTCATCATCCCACTAATATTTTCCAGGTTGTATTTTACCATTTTGTCGGTGTGATTAAAATGTATACTCATGCTAAATTACACCTTCCTAATAGAAATCGTTATTGAGCAAAACCGTATACCGACGGACAGATAGACGGACGTGACGAAGCTATAAGGGTTCCTTGTTGACTATGGAACGGCATAATTGAAAATGAAAGAGATTATTTTTGATAAAATCGGAAAAACAATAAAGACAACAAGCATTAAAAAATCAAAACTCTTTTAGAAATACAAAAGCATCGTCATCTAGCGTAAACAGCTATAATTGTAACATTTTACTTTGTAACCATACCAAAAGTATAACAGTGACATCTAGTAATCAGTAGCGTCAGCTAAATGTCACATTTTCGTGCATTTAACCAACATAACAAATATATTACATTAAATTAGCAACAGCGATTGTACCGATTTAAATTATTAAAAAAATATTTAATCCTGTGTAAACAGTTTAAATCATTTAACAATGAATTTGGAAAAATATGATATGGAATTTATTTATAATGTCACGGAATTATTTACAAATTTTAAAAATGATTTCTATGGTTACGATTTAATGTCCTATACGAACTTTCACTCCCATTTTCATCCCTTTATGTGTTTTTCGGGTTATAATGATTTCTCATAAATCAGCAGTTTTTTGACTAAACTCATCAGTTTAAGTCAAATTAAGTAACCTATGTATCCTTATAGTATTCATATGTATTCTTTTAAAGGAAAAAAAAATATGTAAAAAAATAATAATATCTACAAATTTACATGGATATTACATAAGCGACTCAATTGTTACTTGTTAATCGACACTTTATATTTTTATTTTGTACTTATGCATTTCATTGGGTATGTAACCTTTTGACATGAATTTTGTAACCCCGTTACCGCCTACAAAATATTTATAGGCGGGTGATTATTTACAGCCTCAGGGTGTATCAGGCTACTTGTTGCAAAACTACTATGAAGCTTTGTACGCTTTCACCTGAACGTCACGGAGAAGCCTCGACGAATGTCAAAATCAATAGCGCACACCGCGCACCCACATACAAGGATGACATAATATGAAACGACACAAGATTTTTCTTTGCGATTTACGGATGTGCTGTTGTTACTACTGATTATGTATGTTACGACGAGCAATATTTAAATGAAGATGACTTGGCGTTTTGTTAAAATATTTTATCTCACTTTCGTTTTGCTTCTTAGCTAACAGTTTTTAAATAGAAAGATTTTAATTTGAAGTTAATTGGGGTTTTATTAGATCTAATTTATATTCTGTCCACAAAGGATCTCTGCATGGATAAAAACATCTCACTATGTCATTATCCAACCAATTCGAACTTTCGTGTCTATAAATAATACTGGAAAGATTTGTCCGCTTTGTTTTGTACCTAAAATAATTTGGTAATATTACAAAGAATGTCAAGACAAACTATGATTGTCCGTTTGGATGGATTGTTCATTTTTGGACGGCAGGAGGTTCATTTATCTCAATTAAATAGATATTTGTAAGAGTAAACTTCAAAGAATGTGATTTATAATTTTGATAATGATGTAATCATTACGAGTTAATAGTTTCACTCTCTGCTCTCCGATACAACGTAACAAAGGAATTAATTGTCGTGAAATTCGAACACTATTATTTTGTTCTCCGAATGCATTTGTCAGACTTGTCCAAAATAAAAACTAACTTAGGGATATTTCATTATATTTTATTAATTCCTCATAAGTAATGCCAAGAAGCTATTATAAGAAAGTTTTAGATATAATAAAAATGTTGCTGTTTGAATTTGATTGTGTACCTATTAACGGCAGGTTTGAAAATGTTTATCTAAGTATATAGGATATTTTCTGCTTACTTTCTCTTGTTTTTCTTTAATATTTCAAACCAAAACAAACACCACAGCACAGCTAGACGATGTGATGTGTAGCTCGAGTCATGGCCCCACGTTATGGGTGTCAATGTACAGTCCGGTTGTCAAATATTCTATGTAACAATGCAACAGCGATTGTAGCGTAAAAGCATTAACATTGACTATGACATTAACTATGGAATTGTATGTATTTTAGTGGATGTGAAAACAGAAAAGGTCCTATAACTGTTTAAAAATTACATGTACTATATAAATAAATAATTGTTTATTTGTGATTAATTTTACCCTGCGGTTTTGTTGAAAAAATGTTAACCACCTATAAATATCGAAGCTGTACTTAAAAATATTGAAATTACTAATAACTGTATAATTTTGTTTTGTGATACTTATACTCATATTTGAGTAATAATTTCAGAAATATAATATCTAATATTTTTTATACCAACGTAATTTTAAAGTTATAGTAGTTACAGTACAACATGACTGATTATCAAAGAATCAAAGATACGATAATGAAACAATTAATCATGTTTTCACGATTTGATTAATGCCTTTTCTCATTGTATACCTACACGTATGCAACTGATTTCTAGTTAAATATCAGCTTATTAATAAAGCTTTTTTCACTGGCGCTCACTCTAAACCATAAATAATACATATTACTGGTCTCTAAACTAAACTATTAAATATAACTGATGTGGCGTACACTAATACCTCCTTATTCTATACTCACGTAATAAGAAGGAAATAAGTATTCCGTATCATCATAAATATTTTTATGAGTTAGGATTATGAAAATGAACTCCATACCTCTCGGTGTTACTTGTAAAATAACATTCAGAGGCAATATATTTCGAATATTCCTTTTTGTGGCATACGTATTAATTTTTTTCAACCTATAGAATGCTAATATCACCAGACCGGAATTAGATGACTTGGTGTTGTGCAAGACTATCCATTTGCTATTCAGTGGCAAAAGGTGAACAAATTATTTGATACCAACTCTAATAAGTATTACATATGTGTTTGCTGTCGCAGCTGCATAATCTTTAAAGTCTATGTAGGTCCGTCTTAAGTACAACAGGCACCCAGGTGCAAGCAGTGCTGTGGCCCCCATTACAGGGAAAAAGGTTTTGGAAAAAATGAATTACATACATTTATTTTGAAAAAAAAAAATGGTGGTGCGACAGCGGCGTTTATTTCATAAGACTCATTATTCAGCGTCAGTGGTTGAAAAATATAAAAATTATTGAAATAAAATTACAACTTCGGGGCGGATTACACTTCAAAAACCGGCATCCACTCAATCTTGAATTGGCAATTAATGTTTCGTGACATAAGTGAAGTGAGTTTCGAAATGATATAGGAATAGAATATGTGAGACACATATATTCAATAGAATTTCTACACTAAATGATGAGAATTTGATGAGAATTCGGGCATATGAGTGAATTCGTATTCGGGTCTAGATATTTACAGAATCGCAGGTCAGGTAAAGTGAGGCAGATGAATTCCAATACGACCCATCTCAAACTTATGCATCGTATCCTTTAACATAATATATTTAAAGTTAAGACTCAAAGAAACGATGGGTACTGTATTTGAGTTTATTCTCAATATAAATTTATAACCTAGGCCATTTACTTTAGTCACGCTTATGGCATATCGGTCACTTCCTGGACATACAATAAAGCAAGCTCGCTGTTTCCGCGTCATGAGCTGATAATACTAAGAATGTAATAGTAGGCGGGTTTACAAAACGGTTCATCGACATAACCTATGCCATATACGCACAATAGGGCACAATTGCATAAATCATGTCGTCATTGTCAACAAAATAGGAAATTCGCTTTTAACCATTTCGAAGTTAGACAGATACTTTTGGTCAACAAAAGTGTTTGAATCTTTGGGCCAATCAGATATTGACACGACATTCATTGTATCTACAATCTACCCTAGTGAATAGCTTTTGAAATTGTAAATTGCTTAAGTTATGTTCTAGTCAAACCAAACCCTCATGAAAACGTAGTGTTAAATTCTCATGACATAAAATGACAGTGATCATCAATTATAGAGTCTTTTGCTCATTCTAACATTACCAGTTTGAATATAGCTTAATTGTATTGTATCGTAGTTTTATAATGGCTTTAAAGGTTTAGTGATCTATAATTAAGTATCATTATATCATTGTTGATGGAGTATCTTAATTAAGTGTTACTTCACTTAAAACTAGATCTAATTGAACTTATTATTTTATTTTAAACGTCACTCTTACATTATATATCCTAGCCAGTGCGTGATGATGTCACGATGATTTCAGTTTATAATGTATTAGATAATTTATAAGAGAAGAGGTCA